ACTTTGGCATCCATAGAGCATCAAAGGCAGTGGTGGGATTCAAAATGTTATATTACTGGTTCTGTGGGCGTGGCTTGGTGGGCATGGCATGGCTTGATGGGTGTGGCAGGGGAAGGTTACTGCAAAATCCCATTCCCTCCCCATCCTACTAACCTGCTTTCCAGCTCCGTTTTCCTGTGCAGGGCAACAAAAGATAACCCAGCCAATCCGCTGGGACTAAGGAGGCAGAGAATAGATGGGGGCAGGGCCAGTCAGAGGTGGTATTTGCCGGTTCTCGGAACTACTCAAAATTTCTGGTTCTCCAGAACTGGTCAGAACCTGCTGAATACCATCTCTGATCAAAGGGTAAATGATTGCCTGTATGGTTCTGATTTTTGTAGGTACAGACGTATCTGGCATCCGAGTATCTTTTCCAAGGCTTTCATTTCTGATCAGTCGTTCACTAGTCTACACTGAATGTCCTAATTATTGGTTCCTTTAGTGTCGATAGTCAATCCTAAAAGTCAGAAAGTAGTCATCACTTCAATATCTTCACTGTGAATTGTTGCACTTGTTGTCATTAGGCTGGTTTTCTTCATATTTAATTTTAATCCCATTTTTCACTATGCTCATTGACTAGTCTTCAATTTACAACAGTTCATTTAGTGACCGTTCAAAGTTATAATGGCACTTGAAAAAAAGTGACATGATCAATTTTTCATAATTATGACCATTGCAGCATTCCCATAGTCACATGATCAAAATTCAAACACTTGGCAACTGACTCATATTTATGATTTCAGTTTCAGTGTCCCGGAGGGTCATGCGATCACCTGCAACCTTCTGCCAAGCAAAGTCAATGGGGAAGCCACATTCACATAACATTCTTGTTACTAACTAATCAACTGCAGTGATTCACTTAACAAGGGTGGCAAGGAAGTCATAAAAGGAGGCAAAAGTCACTTAGCGATTGTGTCACTTAGCAACAGATATTTTGGGCTCAATTGTGGTCATATGTCAAGGACCACTACCTGTATTACTACAGCTTGCAGTTAGTATTTTCAGCTAAGTAATGTCATCAGCACAGTTAGGGAGCATTGGTGTTTCTTCTTCCAATTTTAAAACCATGCTTATCTGATATTCAGACTCCCTCTATCTGTATTCTACACACAGATTAAATATATAAGGGAAGACAAGTGTCCAGCTTGGTCTCTCTCACTCCTTTGTCAATCTGGAGCCAGTTTGTTTTGCCATGTTCTGCCCAGACAATAGTTTCCTGCCTTGTATAAACTTTTTTTTCCCATGAGGACAAGGAGATATTCTGGAATTCCTGTTTTTCTAAGCAAATTCCGTAACGTCACATGATTTCCACAATAGGAACCTAATAATTACTGAACTGTATCATGCATTTTTTGGCTTTCTCAGTGATCCTGCATGGTGTTTTCCTTGCTTTTTATAAAGCCAGCTTGAACATCTGGAATCTCCTTGACCATGTGGGACCATTTAGCTCTATTCAGCATTGGATGGTCCTAAGTATTATTATTTTTTTTGCGATCATGTGAAATTAATGATAGTGATATTAATGATAATGATAGTTTGTGCACTCAGTTAAATTTAATACAAATAAATTTTCTTTTGGGTGGGAGTTTTGGAATGTAGCTTGATCTCTTTCAATCTGTTGGCCATTGATCATTCTCCAGATTTGCTAGCATGATTTGGTTTGAACCTTCACTGATTCTTGCTTGAAGAGAGAGGAAACAATGAAAGTATTCATTGACACAAGGGTGATGTATTTACTCAGTTTCAGATAGTGGTAGGTAAGATCTCTCAATTATTATCATAAACAGCAGGTTTATATCACCAACAGGGTAATATAATTGAATTTTGGAATGACAGATTATTCTAGTGTCTAAAGATTTATATTTTTGTTGAATTTTTCAAATTCAAATTCAACATCAGAAAAATAAAGAAGTTGTTGGTATAGATAGTGTACAGTTAATTTACTCTTTTCTATTATCTCCTGGTTTAAATAGGAAAGTTAAAATCAACATTGCAATTCCTTGGCTATTATTTTTTTGGCTCTTGCCCAGTGTTAACAAGAAGTAGAAGGATTCCAAGAATAACCCAGTAGTGTTGTTTACAGAAACTCATGGACAGTCAGGTTGCCAGAAAGTCATTTTTTTGTCTAAGGTCCAACAATGAAAGGACTTTCCCATATCTAAGCTAGCTTGGAATTGATTCACAATGTCTTGTGAATATTTTCTACTGAAGTGTGACATCCTCAGTATTTGAGGAAACATAACAGCAATTCTAGGCATGCTTTTAATAAACAATTTTCAAAAATAAAAATTGGTTAAATAGAGAAATTCCTAAATGCATACCATATTGACATGTAGATTTGTTTGTCTAATCATCATACCTATTTTCTAGGATCTTTTAATTATTTTGGGGAAAGCGAAAATATAAGCTTAACATTTACATCTATGAAAATGTACTTGTGGCTTTTGAATTAAACCAATTCATGGTTGAGCTTATTTCCTTAGAAACAGAAATCAGTGGTTCCCTAGGCTAGGAAAGAAGTTCAGGCTATTCCAGATGAGAACCCAATGTCTTGTGAATATGAACTGCCTGTTAAGGCAGCACAAAATTAAGTAAGAATGCAGCATAATATAACTATTGAAGCTTTCACTGACAACAACAGCATTGACACAAAATATTAATATCATAATGAATAACCAAGGTCATAATTTTCTGATTGTTTTTGCTTTCAGATGAAGCTTTTATTGTATAATAGCCATATAAATATTCTGTCAACTCAATTATGTTGTCATAAAATGATTGGGAGTTCTAGGTTTCCATATAAATGCATACCAGCATTCAAGAAATTTGAATAACCAAGATACCAGAATGTTAAAAACTGAGAGGAAAAGCTATATTCATTCTCTTTGGAACAATAACAAATATATTAAATCAAATTAATGGCACACTGGTAGAATTGTACATAGTAAAATGTTCTCAGTGTTCTCTGTTGAGTTGTTTGTTGGATGCATTGACACAATCTCCACTCAGACTCAAAACATCCTGAAAGCAAAAATACTGTTCAGTTGGGAACAATTTGTTATTTATCATTCAGAGGAATTCCAGCTTTAAATTCTTGACGTACACACTTTTGCAGTATACTTTCCAATGGTCCTTGATCTCTGTAAATACCACCTATCTCAGTTATGTTGTTTTTGGTGCACTGCCATAGATACGCTATGGAAGAAAAAAGCAGCAACCTCTATATCTTCACACACACACACACACACACACACACACACACACACACTCAAATTGCCTCGCTGAATTTAATGTTTTATGTGATATTTTACGACATAATTTTATACTAATCAAATATCCTTTTGAACATCTAAGCAAACTTTTAAATCTTTTAATTCAAAGAACCTGATTGTGCACAAACTTTGCAGGCAACCAAACACGCTGCTTGGTTTCTCGATTGGAGATACAGGAAACTTTTAAAAGTTAATGCTGGCCAATAACATTCTATGAGAGCTCTACAACTATAAGGAAGGGGAAAAAAAATCCAACTTACGGTCAGATGTGCCCTAATCACCTTGAGCCTACATTACTACAATGCATTCCACACAATTATCATTGAAAAATATGTGAAAGTTGCAGCTGGTCCAGAATGACCATGGTGGTGCAGTGGTTAGAGTGCAGTACTGTGGGCTACTGCTGCTGCCTGCCAGCTGCCTGCAATTTGGCAGTTCAAATCTCACCAGGCTCAAGGTTGACTCAGCCTTCCATCTTTCCAAGGGGGGTAAAATGAGGACCCAAATTGTTGGGGGCAATATGCTGGTTCTGTAAACTGCTTAGAGACGGCTGTAAAACACTGTAAAGTGGTATATTAAGTGCTATTGCTATTTGCTTGGTGCAGCCATAAAACAGCTACTCCACAAACTGTACTGATTACTGGTATGGTTCCAAGTGTGGATTGTGCCCTTACTTTCTTTTCAAAGGTCTCTGAAGATCTAGCTTTTCCTTTGGACATTGGATGTGAGCTGCCCTCTCACAGCTTGGATGAAGTTGCTCATGTGTGAAAAGCTCCGTTCTTTTTTATTTTTTAAAGTTCTTTTATGTATTTTACCTTCTATCCAATCCTGAGACACATGTAAATTGGCAATTTTATAAACCAATGTAAATGATTGAATAAATACATCCTATGACAGGGGTGTCAAACTGGTGGTCTGCAGGCCGGAATCATCACACGCAGGCCATGCCCACCCCAGCTCTGCAAATGGGGAAAATGTCACAAAAGTCACGTGACAGCAACATGACGCTGAGAGTTTGACACCTGTGTCCCATGACGCATGGAAATGTCTGTAATCTATGGACAGACTCTCCCACTGTTAAATTCCAATTCCCATCAGCCTATCAAACATTGTTTGTGACATTGGAGCTCCAATTCTGCAGCATTTGAAGAATTCACCACTCTTTGCAATCTCTAAATTTGTCCTGGCTCAGTATATTTTGCAAACTGACAAATTTTATATGAATTATAAAAAGCCTCTCTATTTTTTTCAGTCATGAATCAATGAACTGGAAAGAAAGCAGTGGAAGAACTCTTGTGAGCATTTGAAATCTTTGCCTTAACTTATTTATTCTTATTTTGACTTGCAAGAAGCACTGATAACATACCAAACAGCCTTCAACCAATGAAAGAAAAAATAGGTGCACAATGCAGATGAACCTAAGGAACATAGAAGAAAATGATATCTTTCCATTTAATCAGAAATTCTGGAGAAATATTTGAACATATTTTCTCCTTGTCTCCCTCTCATTGTTCCACATGACCTTTTATAAACCTGTGTGCCTTAATAAAGCAGAGCCTGGCCAAAACTAACATTTGTACAATGTTTGCTTCCTTCACCATCTTACAGGATTACTTTCCTTGCAGCATGAGTAACTCTAAAAAAGATGTCTATTTTTATGGAAGGATAGCCAAAGAAAGAGTTCTACCAGGAAGCTGTAGGCTACAGAAAACCATAACTTTCCACTGCTTTGTTTGCTGATGAGGAAATATTAGTCCTCACATAGAATATTCTACATGAGGGGAAAATGTGCGTCAGAAAGAAGGCTGCTCTGACAATTTTCTGCATAGAGAAAGGTTCTGTTACCTGCAGAATAATAGTGCAGAACCAGATTATCACTTCTGAGAGAACTGAACCATACTGACAGCTTTCACTTTTAAAAAAGGTAAATAGAATAAGGTCCTTGACCAAATAATTGAAGGGTTGTTCTTGCAGAGATAGGAAACCTGGGTCACTTCTGATTTTCTTGAACTGCAAGTCCCTGCCTCTTTTCCTGTTAGCCATGCTGACTAGACCTGAAAGCAGTTGTAATTGTGGCATTGGGGAAAAGGCCTTTGATAGAAATTGTAGGAGCTCCAATTTTAGAGAATGAAGGCTGGAGAGTTAATCTTTCTTGGTAAAAGGTTTTCCCCCCACAAGTGTATCAGGCATTTACTTGACATACCTTGGCACTTTATGCTTTGTAAAAGTGCCCTAATAGACAAATAACTCTTATACCTCTCACGTTTGACTTTGTTTTGGCTCTTGTTATGAACTAACAAAAATCATTTAATAAAACTTATTAACATTATGTTAAGCAGGCTTGAAATCCTGCACTTTGGATTGGCCCTTGGATAGCGAACTGGGATTGGTCCTCACGGAGCAACCTGATTGGCTATTAGTTTAACATCTCTCATTGGGCAAAAGTTAAGCATTTGGACACAGGTCATTGGTTAACAGGTCAGTAGCTAGCTCTATAAAAGGGCTACTGATGCCCCATGGTTTTTGGCTCTCTGTTTCTGATTCTTAATAAAGAGTTGAAGTTCACTAAGTCACTGACTCGTCTCAATTACTTGCACCCATGCCCAGAATATAACAGCTCTAATTCAATCTTGGCAATTTCCATAGGCTGCTTACTGTCTACTATACCACACACAATGTATTATGGTACAGAAAGGAATCCTCTAAACCTGTGTTTTTCAAATAGGGTAATTTGAAATTATGTGGACTTCATCTCCCAAAATTCCCCAGCAGTAGTTGAAGTCCACACATTTTAACATTGCCACATTTGAAAAACACTGCTCTAGACAACTCTAGAGCTCTAATTGGCAAAAAGTGAGAATCGCACAGAAGATAATCCTGAACAGACCTCTGACTCTCTGCTGAATGCCTATCAGAGTGGAAAGATTGGAAAGCTGTGTGCTGCACAATGATCCCTCTTCAATGAGAGAAAAAGATGTATTTTTATTCTCCCAACCAGCAAGAGGGGAATCCAACATATCCTTGTAATGGGAGCTGCCTCCAGGTTATCCACTATGCTTCCACTATCCGCATTGAAGCAGGATTTTCTAAGTGAAGTCATGCTTCTCATTTAAATTAGTATTTGCAAGGCATAATTACCTAACCATCACGCACAATTTCTGTGATAGCCTCCCATTGTATATACAGTGGATATAAATAGTTTGCTCACACAATAATCAGCCATTTCCCATGTGCAATGATGAGAATTAGATTGACTTTTAGGTGAATTTTTAGATGTTATAAACATGATCACTAGCTAATATTCACACTGATTTTTTTATAAATACTCAGCAAGGTCAGACCTGGTTAATACTTGTAAGGAAAACTGTCCAGAACTCCTAGGATTTTAGACTGTATTGAGACACAAATAGCAAAACAGAACAATACAAAACAAAACATGGAAGAAGTACTGGCACACTACTTCAATATCCTTGTCAAGAAACTGACTATGTATTATATAGTTCACAGAAGTTCACGGGACTTTTCTGCAGTTCTCAAATATATATTACTAGCTCTATACCCATGCTTCGCTACGAAACTATATGATCAGGCTTAGTTTTTGGGGAGGAAAATTTAAAAAAAAGTGCCTCTGCTTGCCAGCATCCATTGGTATTCATCTGGCTAGTGTCCTGTCAGTGTGTGAGAGAGTTGAGGCCTGTTTGGAAACTGAAGCAGTATTTGCTGGGTGAGCAAGAAGGAGACAGCAAGGAGCCTGGCCGTGGCTTAGCTCAACTGTTCTGTACTAAAGCTGGTTGCTGCTGTGAAACTGAAACTGAAACTCCTTTCCTCTGTTTGTGTTTTGCATTTTTTTCAGGTGGGGAGGGGAAGTAGAACTCCTTAGCATCACAGCATGTTAATAATAATATACAAAATACTAATGGTCTGATGGTATTTTGAAAAATCCTTTCTTAGTGAGCACCTACAAGCCAAATTTCAAGTTTGTAGGCCTACGGTTCTGGAGATTTGTGATGAAAGCGTGAGTGGTATTTCGCTTTCATATTATATATATAGAAGATATAGATTTCTTTCTGGAACCAGAGAATGTTTGTCCAAAGTAGAATACCTATTGATCTAAACAGGGTCCCTGTAAATCTTTTTAGTCTATCTTTCATTGTAAAAGCATTGGCTACCTATTTAGAATTAGACAATGACTGAAAGAGCAACAACGATTTCCCTACTCTTAAAGCATCAGTTTTAATTAAGACTCTTCAAAGATAACTCCAAAATCCTCAAGTTTGCAAGTTCAACCCAGTGCCCTGAAAATGGAACACTAAATTGGTAATAATTCAATCTGGTCTGGGAGCCTAGACTAGCAGCCAAGTTGCCTGTTGCCAGTTGCGTCTGGCAAGCATTACTAGAGTTCAAACATGGATGTTTTCACTCTGTATCACTGCTCCTATCACTGCTAATATTTTTAGACGAGAACAATTGCTGGAATTGGGCATGTCTAGTTTAATGAAAAGAAGGACTAGGAGTGACATGATACCAGTGTTCCAATATCTCAGAAGTTGCCACAAAGAAGAGGGAGTCAAGCTATTCTCCAAAACACCTGAGGGCAGGACAAGAAGCAATGGATGGAAATTAATCAAGGAGAGAAGCAACTTAGACCTAAGGAGAAATTTCCTGACAGTTAGAACAATTAATCAGTTGAACAATTTGCCTCCAGAAGTTGTGAATGCTCCAACACTGGGCATTTTTAAGAAGAGATTGGACAACTATTTGACTGAAATGGTGTAGGGTTTCCTGCCTAGGCAGGGGGTTGGACTGGAAGACCTCCAAGGTCCCTTCCAACTCTGTTATTTTGTTCTGTTCTGTTGAAAGCAAATGTTATACATACTACACTAGTAAGGAAGACCTAGTAGACTGTAACAGAATCTACTGGTATGTCTGCTTATATGAATCTGCCTGTTGTCTATGTTTGCCTATATGCGCCTCTCTCTCTCTCTCTCACGCACACGCACACACACACACACACACAGAGCAGGAAGAGAAAGGGGAGAGGGCAAAGTAGCAGAGAAATTGAGCTCATGGCAACCTGCAGTCTGAACTGAATTCTTTGAAAGCTGCTGCCACAATCCAGGCAGAACTTTCTTAAATCAGCTTTAAGTCAATCTGATGAACAGAATCAGCTTGAGGATGCAGTGTGGATATGGTCTAAGATTCATCAGAATGGAGCTCTGTTTCCCGATAATCTGGCATGGTACAAACAAAGGTCTTTTGGTTACAACCAAAATAGGTTGAACATTTGAGGAAAACTAATGGGATGAGAGTGATAGATTTCATAAAAATTAATATAAGCATTTGCAAACTATGCACCTTTATTTATAATGACCTCTGTTGGTGGGCCAACAGCCTGAGCTTTGGTTTTGTTTTGTTTAAATGAAAGGGGAAGAATATTTTTAAACCTTGATGGTGTCACTTTCCTGAATAGGTGCTATAAGGGTGAACCAATTAACAGCAATAGCACTTAGACATATGCACCGCTCCATAGTTCTTGACAGCACTCTTTGAGTGGTTTACACTGTCAGCATATTGCCCCCAACAACCTAGGCTTTTATCTTTTCATAAAACAAAAAGACCAGGCTGGTTGGCTTGTGTTGCGCAGAAAAATATATATCAAACCACAATCAAGATGAGGGATGGGTGACAATGACCCAGAACTCTTCCCAAAATGACTGTCTCTGCCACTTTCTTCTGGGTCTTTGCAAAATTATTGTAAAGAAGGTAAGCAATGATAATCTGGTTAAAACAGGGGTCCCCAAACCTGGCTGTCTGGCTGGAGAATTCTGGGAGTTGAAGTCCACAAGTCTTAAAGTTGCCAAATTTGGAGACCTCTTGGTTAAAAGAATCAGTCTATTTTGAAGGCAAATCTGCTGGCCATTTAATTTAACTCAGCCTTTTTCTCCTCTTTCTTTTCCTTTTCACAGCAGGTACCTAAATGGTAGTTTATTCTTCTCTGTTTTATTTCTCTTCAGTTTTGTTTTCTCTCATCCTCTTTCTCTCATGTCCCCCTTCCCTCTCTTTCTCTTCCTTATTTTCTTATTTTACCTGTAATGAAACATTGCTCCTGAATATTCTTAATATTTCTTTAAGACCAGCTTGTTCAGGTGATTTAGGATTTCATTGGAAATTTTGGTTGCATTGTTCATTGTATTTTAATCAGCTCTGCATCTATAAGTCCTGGAGAATTTATTTTATGAAGCTCTAAATCAGTGATAGCTAACCTTTTCCATGTTGCGTGCCAAAAGTGTGCTCGCACGCGCTCGTGTGCCTGCACCCATGATGCAATGCGTGTGCGATTTCCCCTGCCCCCCCTGCACATGTGTGCACGACCTCCTGCGTATGCACTATGCAACTGTGCATGCGTGTGACCCCCCCTGCACCGCACATCTCTGCGCATGCACCCATGTCTCCCACGCATGCATCTCCCCGCGCATGCAGATACCCAACAATCAGCTGGCTGGTGGAGGGTTCCCGCGCATGCACAGTGGGGCTCTTCCAGGTGACCTCTCGCATGCCGGCAGAAATGGCTCTGCGTGCCACTTCTGGCACGCGTGTCCATAGGTTCGCCATCACGGCTCTAAATAGACATCAGCTGTAAAAGAATAGCAAGTGATAAAATTCAGTATCTTGCCTTCATCCCCCCCCATTTCTCCAAAGCTCTTGATAATATCATGTTGATTTTTTTTTCTTTTTTGAATTTCAGGGCAAAACAAATTAGTCAACATTCTGCCAGGCAGGCAGGGGAGCGTTTTCTTGTGGATGGCACTTAAGAGTTTATTATCGCATCTAGTCATTTCCTGCTGCCCTGTTAGACTATACATTTCCAAACCCTGGACATTATTTCCCTTTTTAAATTGCAGGCTGGTAAGCCCCACTGCTGTTGGTAGAAAACAGAAGCTGTGTTCCTAGAATATGCCCAGGAGAAAGCTTCACATCTTTCGATTGGTCATTTCAAGACAGATTGCTCAAGGAGTGCTTCATGGAAAAACCATTTGCTTTGCAGAGAAACCACCAGCACCAGTCACTGGAGTGCTTTAGCTCCACCTGCCTGTGTTTCCCCACTACAGAGAAGCTTTCCAGGAAAGGCAGAAGCTGGTAAGTGTTTAGAGGAAACCTCACTTCTTCCTCCCCTCCTGCCCAAGCCACACCAAGTTTCTCGTAAGCAGGCTGCTTAAATTTTTCTTCTCATTCACGTCAAACCTCAGTATGGAGCAGTATTTCAGAAGTGAATTGCTGTGACCTCTGGCATTCTGTCAGTGTTTGGAAAATAAAACCCTTAAAAAAATGCATGCCCACTTTGAATTAGGACAAGGAAAAATGTAGGCTGTGGAGTTTGACACTGTTATAACATTTTCATGACTGGCCTGTAAAGTCTGCCCTTTTCTCATTCACACCCAAGGATTGCACAAAGTTGCAATGAAGGCAAAGCAGGCTGCAGGGCAAAATGGCATGGCGTGCACACGGGAAACCAGCCTATGGTAATTAGATCTTTCTTTTTTGTGGTTTTGCAATAGTGGAAAAATTGCTTCTGAAGATTATGAGGCTCTCAGGAACTGAGTGGGCTACAGAAGGCATTTGTAGGAGAAGGGTAAAAGGTGAAAACATTTTATCTTCTGCTAATGGAAGCACTTTCTGCACGGCAGGAGAAGTTCAAATTGGTGCACACTATTTTCAACTGTATGTGGCATTTTTATTCATGTGTCGAATCCTTTCCAAAGACCTCAGATTGGCAGTTGTTTGATGATATTACAGGTATTTTTGCAGGATGTGAGCTGTTCCAAGTAATGCTGCCTTTTGCAATTGACTGATAATCAATCTGTCAATGCCAAAGGTAATGTTGTGGTGGTGGTGATTGTTGCTATTATATAAAAATCCCGAGTAAAAAAACTATGTCTCTTTCAAAGGGAATCCCACGTAATTGGATTCAGTCTACTCTTATTGTAGACTTATCTAGAAGCATATCCCCTGACTTCCCCAGTGCCATCTCTATCAGATGGCCAGCCTAGACATTTATTAAAAGAATAATAATAATAAACCCTTTTTCATGTCCCTAAGACAACTCTTTGACGATCAAACCAAATACTTATTCCAGAATTTTGTTTTTGCAGAACAGAAGATGAATTCAGTGGCATTTTTTCATTTGTACTCCCAAGCAATTATATACTGACTTGAATATTGAAGCAATGTGTGACAATCGTGACTAATGTTATTCTTCGTAAGTATATCTAATTCTCTTTTATAACTGTCCAAATTGTGACAGTGTTAACTAAGCATAACGTGAAAGAATTATATGCCAGTGATGTAACCCCCCCCCACTTTGACGAGTTATATACACAGACATTTATTACAATGAGATATTAAAATACCCTACATTGACATTAATGGAAAAACATTTTAACCTTGCATTGCTGTACTGGGGAAAATATAAGGTGTGGGTTATTACTGATCTTTCTCTTTTAAAAAAATTAAGTGTCTGTCCGCACAGGTGCACACTTAAACAAGCAGAAAAAAGGAGCTTAAAATAATTTCCATGTACAGAAATGGAGATCAGTAGTTACAAACACACAATCAGTAGTGTTTTCTTTTCTGCAGAAACATGAATTGGAGTGATTTAGAAAGGAAGATAAAAGCTAGATTAAGAGTCACATGGAATCTCTGCTGAAACTGAACTTCTAATAAAACATTACAACTACACACACACACACACACACACACACACACATACATACGTGCATATTTGTGTGTGTGATAAAGTTTGAAGAACAGATTGCCTTGTGCATTTTTCGTATTTTTCTCAGAAGTTCTATCTTTCTAAGGGGATACCACCCTATTCCCATATCTCAAGAGAAACTAATTATATGGAACACCAAATAGTTTCTTCTTATGTCTTTTATAAAATTCTGTTTTATCTTCATTTGGGCCTAAATTCCCAGCTTTGAAGTTTTAGCCCCTACAGATTAATTTGCACACCACGTATCTGTCATGATCATCAGTCAATGTAAACTTTGGACATAACTGAGGATTTATATACAAAACAACCCCAACAACAATCTGATTATGGTTAAATAATGAGTTCTTATTTCTGGGGATGTTGAATCATTGTCTGGACTGGATGGTTTTAGGAATGTCTAATGGGGTAATGGATTAGTTTTTGATATATAAATAAGAGGTGGTTATTTTTGTAATGTTTAATCATTTTTCATTTCTTTTTTGCAATGTTTAATTAAGAGAGGATGAGGAGAATGTAGACTTAATGGAAAAGGGAGCTACAGTGTATATTTGTTTTAATAGGTATTTTTTGCTAATTTTTACTGTGTCTTTATACTGATTAATAAGGAGAGTCGAACCAGTCAGAGCCAAATTTGTCAGCCAGAATCTGTGTTTTGATTTCACTGAGGCATCATCCCCCCACTCGCAGAACTATTTACAAAGATATCTAAACTGCTGTAGTAACTAACCAAGAAGCCACAATTTGTAATGTCTCCTAATGTGCTGTGAGGCGCAGTTTAGGTAAAAGAAACACTGATGATTAACTTAAAATAATATTGGAAAAATTCAAGCATGTGTTAAAGGTTTTCTACTTGAAACTTTACAAGGAGGTTTCTTTGCAAGCTTCCTAAACAGGCTCCTTGGAGAAAAACTTGATTCTTGTAATTCCTGATTTCCAAAGCAGGTCTTAAGCTAGCAGAGTAAAGCAAAGTAACCTTCCATTTAGCAATTTGACATAACTGACTACTACACTGAACTGTTTTTTTTTGGCAACTTCCATTCAATAGATTGATTTCTGCCACCCAGAGTCACCTTTTAGGGGAGGGACAGCATAAAACAATAAATAAATAAAAATAAATAAATAGATTGCAATCCAACAAATCTTTTTGGGGAGCCGAATTTACAACCAGCTGAACCTGGTTGTAGATTAATTAAAACCTCTGAATCTTATGAGATGGCCAAGACTAATACAGAAAATGTATACAGAAAATGCTACAATGCCATGCAATTTGCATTTTATTTTCTTAAAATATTATTTCATTCATGGCAATGCCACCTGAATATGGTAGAGGCAGAGCTGCTAGTGTACCACTTTAACCACTTACATCACAACCAACTTCACTGAATGTGCACGTTAAGCATGCATGTACAATTACAGCCTTGTTAATGTCTTGAAATCGTTTTGTGTACTGGGAATAATCCTTCAATATAACCCATTACTCTGTTCAGCCTATTGCTTTGAACTATTCCTTCTGTCAATATTTAAAGAACCATTAACCTGCCCATTAAAAACAAAAGCTGGGTTGGGAGTGAAGCTTTGTCCAAACTCACACCGTGATTGGCCAGAAAATAGATTTCAAGCAAACAATGCCGATGAGAGTCAGAAACGTCAGCAAGAGCTTATGTTTGTTTGTGTAGTGTGTATTCCTGACCTTGAAGCCAACAACAGAAAATGCTCACTTATCTTTCCTGCTTCGTATTGGCTAAAGGGCATTGCTACATGCAGGGTCAGTTCTCTGACTCAACAAACCAGAGAAGCTTCCTGGGGCAACACCTTTGCTGCAGTAAGAAATGGAAAGTGCTTGTTTTTTTTCTAGCCCGGCCTCTGTCCAGCTTCTTCAGTTGTTGGGACACTGAATGGTCTCTTGGGTTCAGTATGCTCCAGGGGACCAGTCAGATGTCTGTTTTGGAGGCCTAGTATTTTTATCTCTGTTGTGAACTAAGAAATGTATTTAATAAAGATTCATTTGCATAGCAGGATCGTAATCCTGCACTTCCTATTGGCCCATATAATGGCAAGTTATGATTGGTTCATTCCGAGCAATCTGATTGGCTGTTGGCGGGCCGCGCCAAGATTCAAACG